GCCACTGTGCTGGAATAAAACAATGCTCATCTGAAAAAAAAAAAAAGTAAAACCTGGCCGAATCACGCCTCAGTTGAGTTTTAAGCTGAACAGCTCAAACTGTGATGGCTGGCATGTGCATCTCTTGCACTAGCAAAAAACAGAACAGAAGAAGCAGTTTAGATTGGCCTTGTACAGCAGTGTTTCACAACCTTGCCAGCTTAAAGATGTGTGGACCGCAACTCCCAGATTTCCCCAGCCAGCCACACTGGCTAGGGAATTCTGGGAGTTGAAGTCCACACATCTTAAAGTTGCCAAGGTTGAGAAACACTGCTGTACAGTATATGAATTTTCCTTTTTGCCTATTTCCCGTGTGCAGCAGCATGGAAGAAGAGACAGGAGGCGTCTGCTCACACACGGCTTGTCTCTTCTCTTGCCCGCAGGCTCTGCAGTAGCTACCCTCAAGAACTCATCGTTCCTGTCTGGATAACAGACAAAGAGCTGGAAAACGTGTCAGGTTTCCGATCTTGGAAGCGCATCCCTGTGGTGGTTTACAGGTGGGGCCTTTCCTGAAACACCTTTCTCTCATCCCGATGATCGTTTTTGCAGGTCAGTTTGCTGAATCGCAGGGCCGGATCTCAGAGGGGCATTCCGGAGGCCTCCTTTTGCTGTCGAAGCCAACATCCTTTGAGGATAAAAGGGAGAAGATTTATATTCCTGTAAAGACAGAAAAAAGCTTCTGAACAGGCTGCCCCATAAATATCCATGCCCAATCTTTGTGAACCTTAAGAAACGTACTGAACAAAAACTGTGACATGAAATAAAGGGAAAGCATGGAACAGATGTATGACAAAGGGGAATAAAAAATACCGTAGGTTCTAGCTGAACTAGTAACTTCTTGCTGGCCTTGAGACCGAAAGACTTGTTCTCCAGCTCCATTTGTTTTCTCCTGTTCTTCACCATTCTTGTTGCTCCTCCTGATGTTTGGCCAGTGGTTCCTGCTTGATTTTCCCTTAGTCAGGCTTCGCTGGCCTCTCCCACTTTTGTCTCTGTGCTCCGTTTAGCCCTTGGCAAGAGAAAATGAGAGACATGATGGCTGGCAGAGGAGCTAAAGGAACATACTCAGCCAACCATTGACCTCTTCTATCCAGTATGAAATGTACTCCAATACAGCTCTTAGGTTTTTCTGGCATACATTTTGCATTTCCCGGGGGTTTCATTTATAATGGCGCATGGATTCCTTACTATTACAATTGCTGTCTGCATATCACCCTCTGAGTTAGTTAAGAATCATTACACTTCTATTTTACAGCAGCAAGAGGAGATGATGATGATGATGATGATGATGATGATGATGATGATGATGAAGAATTACATTTATATGCTGTCTGACTCCCAGCGATTGTGGGTGGTTTAGAAATGATTTAAAACATGGAAAACAAGACAAGAAAAATGACAAGAAACAAAACATAGAGATGGCAGAATAACAAACTGGGTGGAAACAAAACAACCTAGGTTAGAAGGAGGCTTCTGTCATCCTGGGTAAAGATCCAGGTCTTCACGGCTCTTCTGAACAACAGCAGAGTGGGGGCCCTCCGGATCTCAGGGGAAACCTTGTTCCAGAGGGTAGACACTGCAACAGAGAAAATGCACTTCTGGGGTCCTGATAGATGGCATTGCTAATTGAAGGAACCTGTAGCGCGCCAATCCCTGCCAGATCAAATCAGCTGGGGAGTTGTTATGGGAGCAGGTGGTCCCTTGGGGCTTTTGGGTATAAATATGGGTGTGTGTATATGTGCCCTTTTCTGTATTTACACATGAAGTGCGCAATGTGGTCAGGGTTCACTCTGTGTGTGTGTGTGTGTGTGTGTGTGTACGCGCGTGTGTGCATGTGTCCCGGCCACCCCCCTTCCCCCCCGAAAGCCTTGCCAGCAACTCTGGAGCCTTTTCCAAAGTTGCAAAATGTTTTTCACACAATAGGAAAGAAGCATTTATTAAATACATGAGAATAATTGCAATCCCAGTAGTGAAATTAATGTTAAATTAATACTCAGTTTATTTCAGTCTGGGGCCCACCATCCACTTGGAACGCAGCCCTCAAAAAAAGCAGCCACATGCTGTTTTTGTTCTGAAAAAGATGGTCTGCCCCAATACTAGATGCAAGAAAGCGGGGAAATCATTTAAGCACCTTATCATGTTCTAGGACTTCAGTATTCTTAGTAGAATAAGAATAGTCTTATAAGAGTAGTAGTAATGAAACTTAGCAAACGTTCATTTCTGCTTCAGTAGGAAGAGGAGTCTTTCCCCTTTCCAATCGTTCTAGCATTTTTCAGGGTACTCAGCTCTGGATTCCTACTTAGAATCTCTGCTCAGAGAGGTAGGGCTAAATGCTGTTTCATTTTGCGGAAACGCGTGAGTATCCGCTGCAGATTACCTACAGCAGAGTACGCAAGGAATCATCATCATGTCTCTCATGTCTCAGTTGCCCACATGGACTGACTTTGGACACTCACGGATTACGTAAACTGTAGATGGGTTCCCCTGGTTCTCTCTTTTTTGAACAAAAGGCATGTCCAAACTGCTGACATTGCTGACCAGCATTAACCCAGCTGCCGAGGGCCGACTTCACGTTCTAGAGGGCTCTGCATGATTTTACAGTTATCAGCAAAAGCTGATTCAGTTTTTCGTTTTTGTTTTTCTTTCTCTTTATTATACTTTTTAAATGTTTTGTGGAGGCGCTGTTCATTACTGGTGTTTGAAAAACAGACAAGCAAATTCAGATCCTCTTAAGTATTCAGATATATGCCAGTTTGATGACTTGGCAGCCTGTTTCTTCACTAGTGTCCCCCAAACTCTTTAAATCCCAGTGGACATTAATTCATGCATTTTACCACAATTCTATCTCAGCAATGGCAAGTTCTGAGAGTTGTTCCACGGGGCATCAAGTCAGCTCAACTGTGAGCTTTCTAAGGCTCTAAATGCCCCTTTGTCCCACACTGCAATTAGTTCCTATGGGTCCACGTGTGACGTCACAGTGGTGCTGGGTTGATTTGTGTTTCCATGCAGGCACCAGAGCAATGGGGCGGTCATTTCTCGCTGTGGGCAGCCCGAGGTCAGCTGGTGGGGCTGGAGAAACGCTGACGACGAACATCTTGTCCAGTCAGTGGCCAAAGCCTGTGCCTCCGATTCCAAGTCAAGCAGCAGTAAGCTTGTGAATGGGAACTGTCCGCGAGAGTTCTCCAGCGGGGGAGACTTCTCGGATGCGGAGTTTGGTAAGCTCAGTCAGGCCACCTCGCTTTGTTTTCGAAAGGTGAGCTGTCTACGGAATGCAAAGGGGGAACGTCCGCAGACGAGTTAGCCGTCAGAGATTTCTGCGTCTTCCCTGGGATTCTCTGCACTGCCGTATGCTTGCGCCATGGATGCTAATCCCACGGCTGCAGTCTTGCGCATAGTCATGCTACTTTGATGGCCGTGGGGTGTAAGCAGCTGAGGTATTCCACTCCTGCAGTGCAGGGTTTATTCGTAACACTTCTGCTTCACTTTTTCTGCCAAACACATTCAGGGCCATTTTAAGAAGTATGATCTGACATAAAAGGGAGGAGGAAACTAATCAAATTCAGGGGGGCAGACGGTGCTGACAAACCACCCAAGCAGCCTAGCTATCTCGCCTGTCTCTGCTCCAACCAAGTGGTAGTGCCCAGTACAGATGCTGGATCGAGACAGACATGGAGTTTCTACCAAGAGCCACAGAGCCGCTTCTCCTGCCTGCGATATATGGCAGCCTTCCCAAAACAGCCTGCTCTACATCTGCTGGGACTGCCACTCCCCTGGCTATGCTGGCTAGGAATTCTGGGAGTGGCAGCCCTGCACATCTGGAGGGCTCCAGGTTGATATAAGGGGTGGAAGTGGGGGAGAAGGATGCACATTTGTGATCGCTACCGCAGAATTGTGTTCTTGTTTTTCCTGTTTCTTCCCCAGATTCCTCCATCTCCAATGCTTCGGGAGCAGAAAGCTTAGCCATCCAGCCTCAGAAGCTTTTGATCTTAGATGCACGATCCTATACAGCCGCAGTAGCAAACAGAGCCAAAGGAGGAGGCTGTGAATGCCCAGGTAGGTCTTGAAAGCATGTTCGTGCATTTATATACACGAGGAGGCAGAGAGCATGTCCAGACTGGCCCTGCCTGCTTCAGAAAGGTAGTCAGGAAGAAGGGAGGTGCCCGAAAATTGTAAAAACCCAAGAGGAGAATCGCTTTAGAGTATGGGTGGCTAATTTCTGACTTGCAAACTCAACTGAGCCCCTCAAAAGAGGGAGCCAAAACTGAGAGCACAGAGGTCTCTTGCTACCTTCAGCTCCTTCCAAAGTTGTGAATTTCATATGACAGAAAGGGAAGACGATAAAATACATGGGGAGTAATATTGACTCTGTGTCCCTTGGTTATAATCGCATTCACATCTAATTTAATCAAATTTAAGACTGATTGGGCCTCACTTGTTTCACGGAGGGCCTTGAAACAAAGACACACGGGGACCTCGGATCGGATTCCACAAATTATAGCTTTTCATTTCCTCTCCTTGTTTGAAGGAGAAGGCCTGGAATGACTATGGAGAGCTCCAGCTGATCTATGTAACATAAGTGACACTGGAACCTAGGATTTCTATATGCTCGATTAATCAAAACCTCCTATAAACTTAGTTAATTTTGTCCCCCAACTGTGGCATGCAGTCATTTGGGTTTACTTTATAAATGTACGAGTCAGTCAAAGACAACAGTTGCATTGCTTAAGAGACACTTCTCTATAAATCTGTAAATTGAAAGTAATCAGTCCGAAACGTTTTGAAAAACTCTGCCCAGTATGTGCTAGCCATGCATGTGCGTAGAGGTAGGGACACCAAAACTGATTAAAGTTTTGTCTGAAGTTCTGTTAAATTATTCCATCCTCATTTGCTAGACGCTCCTCTCTACCTCGAAGAGACAGCCCACCACCGCCCCGGTAGTCACAGCGCCTTAAGGGATGTGGGGGTTGAAAAGAACGTGCTCCCATTCATGTTCCAACTGATGCCAGAGAGGGCAGAGCTGGGATCCTCTCCAGCTGGCACGCTGATGCCGTAGCTTTGACTTCCCCGTTGTCATTTGCTCATGTTGCCAGCCGAGCCGGGGAGGAATCCAACTTCATTTGCTGGTGATCCAAACGTTGAATTTAAATCCACTGTTATTGATGGTGCCCACTGTCCAGTCCCAGCATAGGGGATAAATCCACGGATGTATTTCCTTTTCATTGCGTTAGAACGATTCCCTTCTGTTGTAACCATCTTTCTTTGAACTCCCAAGAGGCGGGGGAGCTAAGGGTGCTGAGCACAGCTGTGGCCAGCTTGTTTACACAGTAAAGCTTGTTCATTCAGTTCATCCCGGCCTCTTCTGAAATGCCTTCTCTTTGAAACAGAGTATTATCCGAACTGTGAAGTAGTGTTTATGGGAATGGCAAACATCCACTCTATTCGGAAGAGCTTTCAGTCGCTGCGTTTGCTCTGCACACAGATGCCAGACCCGGGAAAGTAAGTGGCCTCTGCCGGCTCTCTCCCACCCGTCGCTTCTCGCCTTAGTAGATGCGGATTTTTTTCTCCCACAAAAGGGAGGCTGGATCGTTTGACCTATATTTGAAGAAGTGGCGGGCACAAGGTTTGGTTGCTGTATTGCGCCAGCCCATAAAAGTCAAAGGAAGTTCGCTTTGGGGGTTTCCTCCCTCACGCTCCTCTGTGGTTGAAGAAGTTCCCAGGTCTGCCGTACCCTTGCAGGACCCATTTTCCAGATCACACTTGCAGCCAGTTGGCTCCCTCCTAAGTGATCTCACCATTGCAGAGTTGTGTGTACCATATTTCACAGTGCTTTTGGGTTTTGTTGTGTTTTGTTTCAAGTGACTTCCTGGCCCAGGGTTTCTCAACCTTGGCAGCTTTCAGATGGGTGGATGTCAACTCCCAGGATTCCCCAGCCAGCCTTGCAACCCCAGGAGTTGACGTCCACCCATCTCAAAGCTGCCAAGGTTGAGAAACCCTGTCCTGGCCTGTTGAGGTGTGATGTCTCCCCACATGAAACAAGTGTGTACTTCTGTACCACGCAGACCATGGGCCAGGGACAAAGGAGGAGTTACTGTCTGTCCAGAAAGGTCCTCTGATAATCTTGCTCTCGTTAACATTCTGGGGTTGGTGTTTGGGAAGTGGCTGTTTTGTCACGTGAGCGATAAGTAGATCTTTTCCAGTTGCTGCTGCTCCAGAAATGCCCAAATTACTGATTTTATTTTAATGTAGAGGTGCACAACCAGGGCTACTGGTGACCCCCGCAAAACCTTGCTCAGCTCCATTCCAAACCCTTCCCACAGTCTTCTCTCAACTGTAATGTTTAGTTTACCTGCCAAAGGAAATTACTAAGTATGTAAGGAGTGTTCTGGTTCTCTTAATTAATCAGATTAAATTTTGTTTTCACCCCACTCACTTCTTTGTCCCAGACTCCCCTGCCCCCCCAACCCAATCAAAGCCAGGGAGTGACCCTCATCCGAGGAAAACCCACACTCCGTGCTTTAAGTGAACGTGAACATCCGATTGTTGTATTTTCACATCTGCAGCTGGCTGTCAGCTCTGGAGAGCACCAAGTGGCTCCAGCACTTGTCTGTGCTTCTGAAATCAGCCTTGCTGGTGGTCCACGCGGTGGACAGAGACCAGCGACCTGTCCTGGTCCACTGCTCGGATGGATGGGACCGAACCCCACAGATCGTGGCTCTATCCAAGCTGCTGCTGGATCCCTATTACAGGACCATTGAGGTTTGTGATCATGGAATCGATCTAGATTGGGGTGCTTTTGAATTTGGGTGGTGAGGCTTTGGATGAGAGCACTTACGGTGGTGCTTCCTGAAGGAAGAGAATGCAGAGTGATAAGGTGTTTGGAGAGTACAGGGAGATAACAAGTTGTGTCCTAGAATGAATGAAGCAGGTGGAGATGAGGAGGGATTTGGGCTGCTTTTTGGGAGGGCCGAGCGACAGATCTGGCTCGTGGGGACATACCCACACACATAGCTCTCCTTGTTGCATTGCACTAAAGCATCCTCAGTGTGCTGGCACTTCCACGGGGGCTTCTTGGGGGTTTGATTCCACGTAGGTCATCTGCGGCAGGGTTACGGTTGTTACCACTGCCGTGCCTCAGAATGGCTTCAGTTGATCCACGAGGTCGAAAGGGGCTGGCCTTTTGGAAGTCATTGCCCTGTGTTTCCCTCAGGGCTTCCAAGTGCTAGTGGAGACGGAGTGGCTGGATTTTGGCCATAAGTTTGCAGACCGCTGTGGCCACGGTGAGAATTCAGATGACCTCAACGAACGCTGCCCCGTGTTTCTGCAGTGGCTCGACACTGTCCATCAGCTCCAGAGGCAGTTTCCCTGCTCTTTCGAGTTTAACGAAGCATTCCTTGTAAGTGATTATTTTTCCCACAAAGATTCCATGTCAACAATTTTAATTTATTGAACCCACAAAATCTGAATTTCCAAATCGTAGCTTTGAAGCAAAAGAGTGGCTTCGGTTCATCCTGTGACTCTGCCCTTTACTCTGGCAAAAAAAAAAAGAGTTGAGTCGCTGTTCTCAGTCTGTTCTGTGTTTATCTTTGACACAGTCTGTTCCGTTATTGTGGATTGTACATTTTGTAAGAGGAACGTGCACCCTCTGTTGGCAAAAATTTTGCAAGTGGTGGGTTCCTTTGAGAAATTCAAACAGCTGTTAAAACTGCAGATAGCGGCTTTGCAGCTTCTGACACGAAGTCTCTCTTGTAGAACATTCACAGTTGATTTTATTCTTCATCAAATTTCTACCCCACCTTCCCTGCAAGAGCAAAAAGGCACCGTGTGTAGGAATCCATTTTTCCCCTTATAATAACCCTGTGATGTCGGCTGAATAGGGAGCGTGTGACTGGCTGAAGTCATCCACTGAGCTTCCGTGGTTGAGGGTGGACTTGAGCCCAAGTCTCAGAAGGGCTGGAAGAGGCCACCCCTTGGAGCCTTAGGGTGGGGCTGGCCAGCCTACAGGTCACACTTGCAGTCTCCCAGCTCTTGTGGCGGCGACGGCGGCCCCTCCCGTATTTCCCAACTCAGATTTCGCCATCGCAAACCAGCATTTGATGTAAGAAGCAAAAGAGCTGCTGATGGATGCGTTTTCTTTCCACTTCAACTGTAATTAATAGATGCCTTCTAAAAAGCCAAAAGACAAGTAGGGAAAAGGGTGGGGGGAAGACATCCGCCCTTCCCTTTCCAGGGGACATTGTTGTCACAGAAATGCGGTCCTGCTTTAGGGAGCTGCAGTCAGTCACAATCGCCTGGAGATGGACAAGTGGTGTTACTTGGTGTAAGAGTATTTGCACACAACTCTTGGTTATGTCGCAGACATGGTTTCTGAATCAGCAAAATGGAACTTCAGTTGGCTTTCAGCTTTCTCAGCGGAACTAAACGTGCTTAACTTGGGACAGGCCATATTTTTCATCTTTATTTTTTTTTTTCTTCTCCTGGCCATATGTAAAAGGAATTGAATTCACAAGGCAGTGAATTCCTTTCCTTTCCTTTCCTTTCCTTTCCTTTCCTTTCCTTTCCTTTCCTTTCCTTTCCTTTCTTTCCTTGTTAGGTTTTTTTGTTCCTAAACAAACAAACAAACAAACAAAACTAGGGCAGTTTGCATTCAGTTCTCGAACAATTTGAGTTCTCAGGTTGGTGTTACTGTATTTTAGACAGTCTCCAGTGAGTCATTTTCATTTGAATAATTTATAATCCAAGAATATTCTCAGTGTTCCAAATGAGTTATAAAATCCATTAAGCTGAATCTTTGGTGCAAGTCTAATCAGAACTAAGTACCATTCAGTAGAACTTGACTGTGTGTGGCCATTTTGAACCAATTCCTAACTGAAACTATCAGAATTAGGCACATCTTAAAAACAGAAGGCTAACATTCCTGGAATTTTTATCTTTCATTCTCTTGTTCTCAACCACCTGTTGAACAGGAATGTAGATAATCATAGTTAATAGTGCAGTTTATTTTTCTTTCTTTGTACTTCCTTGAACATTTTGAAAAAGTTCATTTTATCAAAGGTGGAGAAGGCTGCCTTGTGTCCAATGGTTGAATCTGTTAATGTGTGTAAATCAAGCATTTTATATGTATTACAATACATAATAAACCAGTTATTATTCGCCTGGTGTATGAATCAGTACATGTTGATGTATAGACAGTTTCTTCAACTGTAATAACAGAAAAGGTTTTAGTCGCTGCTGCTTATAGCCATGTGCATTCTGTTTCACGTGAAGATTTGACTCCCACACACTTAAATGTGTAGGGTTATATGGAGGAATCTTCATATGAACCAGTGTCCGAATGAATGAATGAATGAATGAATGAATGAATGAATGAATGAATGAATGAATGAATGAATGAATCAGTCAGTCAGTCAGTCAGTCAGTCAGTCAGTCAGTCAGTCAGTCAGTCAATTTATATGGCCATCCAATTCGCAAGAGCAACTCTGGGCAATTTACAGTTTGAAGAAGCATGCAATTAGAGAGAGAAAATAGGATACAATATCATATAATAAACCCTCAGAATGAAAAAAAAAATCCAAAAACAGGATAACAGAATAACAGAAGTAACAATAATAGCAGAAGCAATAGAGACCAACCAACCCGTATCTCTTTGCACTCTTATATTTTACACAGGCTCCTTCAATTCTCACTTCTTTAGGAAGGACTGGCTAGTTGGGGCCATCTGAGCCTCAAGAGATATGTTGTTCCATAGGGCAAGCGCTGCAACAGAGAAGACACGACCGCTCGGTTCCACTAGGTGACATTGTTTCATGGAAGGGACCTAAAGCTTGCCCACTCTGCTGGATCTCACAGGACGAGCTGAGGCAATTATTACATGGTGTAAATGTGGAGACAAGCAAGCAGACGTCCTTACTTAGGTGAACTGGCCCTCTTGACTTGTTCAGGCTAAAAGAGTAAACACCCTTTGATACCATTCTTCTTCCAAACCTTGATGGGCTTCAAATAAGCGAGTGAATGTATTCTCTCCAGTGGCATATGAGTCTACCAGCCAAGATCTCAGTAGTATCCTTTCTTGTAGGTCAAGCTGGTGCAACACACCTACTCCTGCCTCTTTGGTACATTCCTGTGCAACAACGCGAAGGAGAGAGGCGAGAAGCACACCCAAGAAAGGACCTGTTCAGTTTGGTCCCTGCTGCGAGGAGGAAACAAAGCCTTCAAAAATCTGCTTTACTCCTCCCAGTCTGAATCTGTATGTACTTGTCTTTATTCTTCTTGGTTTGCCCCCTCCTTTCTTCCAAGGAGCACAAGCTCCTCCCTTTCCCTGTTTGACTCTCACAATCGCCCTGTGAAGCAGGCTCAGCAGAGGGAGCAGCCGGCTGAGGTCATCCAGGAAGCCACGTGGTTAGCTGGTGGTTTGTTCTCAGGCCTCCTTCAGCCTAACCCAGTTTCTTCTTCCACATTGGGGCTTTATTTGTTATTTCTGCCCTCTCTGGAATAGGGGATATTGCTTTATAGTTGAACCTCATTAGAGGAAGGCAGATTTTTATTTACCGCTAACATTTCCAGGCATCTCTACTCCCAACAGCTGAGGGCGGCATAGACAGAAAATCAAAAACAAGACATCAATAGCAAACAATATCCATCATACTGACACTGACCACCAGGGGTTGATGCCAAATCTAACGTGCTCGGAATATTCTCTCCCAAACTAGGTTTTTACTTCTTTATGGAAAATCATTAGGGAGGAGGTAACTTTTATGTACGAGGGCAAGCTGTTCCATAAGAGGGTTTTTTATTACCTATAGGGTGGGGCTTTTCTGCTTGGCTCACTGAGCCCAGAGTCTGCATTTAACCAGAGAAGACAGAAGAACATCCTTGACTGTTCCTGTGTTAGATGATCTGATCCTTCTTTGTTTCTGCACTGAAGAGGCAAATTATTCGATCCCAAAAAAGATGCTAGGGACGCTTTTGAGTTGAAGGGCAACTCAGTTAAGGCGAGGAATCTTGAGGTAGAGGGACCATTCTCCTGAAACAAGCATAGCACCCTAGTGGGAAGGGTCTTGATAGCCATAACTATAATGGTGCTGCTAAGGGTGAGCAGGTCCTGACGGAAAGGCTGGATTGATAAGAGCAGTTACCTGCACGTATAGAAGCCTCCATATATGAACACAGATGCACAGCTGTATCACACGCAAACATTTTTGAGTGAATGGCGACATCGCCAGGTTTGGTTTCAGCTGGAGTTAACAACTCAAGGTTGACCAGGTGGGGAAGTTAGACATTGCAGAAGAATTTTTGTGCCTCTGCTGTCTGTCAACAGTCAGAGACTGTTGGAATAAGGGCTTGGCCCAGTGCTATAACTGGGGAAGGAAAAATACATAAAGAGATTACTGTTGTTGCATTTTATATGGAGCCACCGGGATGTCTTTATATCCTGCCACCCACCCGCAAAAGGAATGCTGCTTGAATATGCTCCTTTGACTATACCTAATAGTAAATTGCAATTTACATGGCCTCAACTTCATAATGCTATACCACTGCAGCCTTAAATATAATGCAGAATTTTCTCCACCTTTGGTAAATTGATTGGAGAACAGCAAATAGCCCATTCTATATGAAAGCTTAAAGGCTTAGAATACCCACGTGCCTTTCTGGGACAGAGGAAGTTATGTGTGATAAGTAAAGCCACTTGTCCTTTTTGTCCAACTATCTAGTTATGATGAATGTTAAGTCGGGTGCCATTTAAGATAATTTGCATTATTGGATGTTCACCCACTTTTGAAATAATTTGCTTACGTCCCAGCTGAATGAGATCAGACTAGAGTGCACGCTGTCTACGCAGACAAGGATGCTGAATTGCATTGAGAACGTTGGGTGGGCTGGCAAAGATATCTTAGTGTATATTTTGAATAGGGGGAAGATAACCCTGCGCTCTTGAATATATTCACACTTTAAATGCGGCTGAAACAAACTGTAATGCGGGTTAGGTGCAATCTCTGGTTTTCTTTCTCAGGTGCTGTATCCTGTGTGCCACGTGCGCAACTTAATGCTGTGGAGCGCAGTGTACTTGCCTTGTTCCTCACCTTCTACTCCTGTGGATGACACCTGTGCCCCTTATCCAGTCCCAGGTTCGAGCCCTGAGGATCAGCCTCTGAGCAGGTAAGCTCCGATTTCAGGGGATCTGATGACACCACATGCCCTTCTTTCACTGCCCATATGTTCAACCAACAGCAGTTGTATAAATCTACCGGTTTGTAGAAGAGCACTGTCGGCAGCAGTAGTTTGTGATGTTGTAACTGATGAATATAAATTTATCGAAAATGTAAACTCATATTTAATTACTCGTGCTATTCTTCTGTAGGCTACCAAAGACCAGGTCCTTTGACAATCTGACCACAGCCTGTGACAGCAGCATACCAACCGCTAACCGGCGTAGTAGCGACCCCAGCCTCAATGAGAAATGGCAGGAGCATCGCCGATCCCTGGAGCTCAGCAGCCTTGGGAATCCAGGAGACGATCCCTTTGATGGTGAAAGTTTGGGCAAGCAAGGCAGGATCGCGGTTGGAGCAGAGCTTTCAGTAGCTGTGGCCGAAGGGCAGATGGAAAACATCTTGCAGGAAGCTACCAAAGAAGAAGGAAGCCTTGAGGAGAATATGAGGTATAGTCAAGAAAGAGCAGGGAAGGAAGGAGAAGAGGATCTCATGCTAGATAAGGAAAGCAGGACTGAACACCTGGGTGGTTCTGCTAATAACAATGTTTATGAAAAGTCTGACATGGATGCAGAAACCGTATTAGACAATCCAGTTTCTAACCAACAGGTGGTATCACAGGGTGCTTCTGAGCTTCAAGGACAAGAGGATGAGCACCTGGCTGTCTCTCATGCTGTCCAGAAGCCAACTCAGGGGAGAGAGCTACAACTTGGCTTTTTGGACAATCCTGGAAATAGTGAAGTTTCAAGAGAGGAGGAGGAGGAGGAGGAGGAGGAGGCGAGTGTTAGTAGAAGTTCAGCAGAAGTTGAAAATGCTCCTGGTGCCGCCCATCCCGTTCCATCTTTACTTGTAGGACATGAGGCAGGAACACCAAATATGGAGAGTTCAACAGAAACCTTAACAGAAGTAGGAGCCAGGGCAGAATGGGCGCAGAACGTGTCTTCCCGTTTGCACCATCCCATGGACAACAGCATTGATGAACTTTCCCAGACTGTTGAGAATAGGCTGGAGAGGGAGGGCTTGATGGACCCACACAAGTTGGCAGCAGCTCTAAATAGGACTCCTTATAGCAGCAACCCTTCCCTGTGTGCCTTGCCTTTAGCTGACTATAAAGAGGTCGTCTGTAACGGAGATCTGGGATCTGAGAACAAGACGACTGAGAGCCCTGTGGGGTTTGGTGCTCCTCAGAAATACGCTGCACCCAATGGGCACTGCATGAATGGAGAAGAAAGCAGGATGAAAATTCCCCTGAGCCGGCAAGTCTCCACCGCCAGCTGCAGTTCTACCCCACTGCATCCACGGAGCCTGCATCACAAATGGGTTCACGCCATTCCAGGCCGGCAGCAGACGGCGAGCAGCCCAGACCAGCCTGCCCGGAATCATCTGGATGATGATGGGATGCCGATCTATGCTGACATCATTCAGCAGCGCCTCCGCCAGATCGAAAGTGGGCATCAGCAGGAGGTGGAGAGCTTGAAGAAGCAGGTGCAGGAGCTGCGAAGCCGCCTGGAAAGCCAGTATCTGAATAGCTCGCTGCGCTTTAATGGGGACTATGGGGACGAAGTGGTAAGTACCAGGGCCTCTGCTCTACTCTGCTCTGCTCAAGCCACCCGTACTGGCCAGGGCACAAATGCAGGACAGATAACAGCCCCAGACAAATGGCTGTGCTGGACACGTGTGGCACATTGATGACTTGGAAGCAGGACTGGGGAGGGGCACCCAGATGAAACAGCTTTCTAGTTTGGCCCCTTGGTATTAATTCTTAATCAGGTTGGGCATCTTGATGGCTGTTTACAAGGCTGGCTACTTCATTTTGAAGGAGATGCATGTGTTTAATCAGTAAATGTTTGGTTGGGGAGAGAGTTGCCTTTAAAAATTATTTCATTTAATTATTTCATTTTGGGGGGGTGTTTGCAGCTTGTTCATCTCTTAACTGGTTTCTCATACTTGGTTAAGCCATACTTTTTACCTAATCACAGGTTGTCAAAGAAACTAGAAATTGGTTGCGTTCACATAGCGTGTTAAGTCAAAACTGAAGAAAGTATATTCTGGTGCAATGCACTGTGCGCTGTGTGAACTGCGCTGTAGTCTAGAACCATCTAACAAGGAAACTAGGGTAGAAAGCCAGTTGGCTGGTCTAGCAAGTTTGGGGCAGGAACAACCGTCTGCTGATTCATCTGAGTGAGATGTTGGTAAAATTGCCTGCTGGCTAGGATCCAGTCCCTGCTGAATTCTTGGTCCAAGTTTTCTGAATATATGTTCTGCTGAGGTTGATACAAATCTCCAAGACAGTTGTTTGCTTTTCAGATAGTAATGGGTGTCTCCTTCACTGAAAGGTTTTTTTCTTTCTGAGTTTAATCCAGAAATTCTACTCTCAGCTCCTGGCTTGAATCTTGTGTGTTTCAATGGGAAGAACAAGCAGGATACATTTCCTGTTTGAGGCTAAGGCTTCTGAGACCCTCTTCAGAACTAGCTTAACAGGAGTCATAATAAAAAAAGTAAAGTTCCCCAAACACTGTTTGCTTTTAAGATCCTGCCCGTTCTAGATGTGGACTTCTACTTTCTTCTTTGTGTGCTTCTAGTGAAGGAGCATTCTCAGAAAAAAGTGTATTTGCCGCAGGGCTGCAAAAGCCCCATCTGAGGAAGCCAGCACGGGAGCTGTTCCGCGGAGTGACGGAGCCCACAGGAGAAACGAGGCTTCCCAGAATCCTCCTCCTGCTCAAGGAAATGCCTGCCTGGCCCCTGCTGTCACGGGCCCTCTCTTTCCTCCTCCATGTTGCTTAACGGTTTTGCCCAAATGTTAAATCCAGGAGTATGTTTATATACCTGTGGTGCACAGATGCATTGCTCCCATATCTTTTTTCTTACGAGGTTAATACCTGTGGCTGATATTCTCCGGTACTACTGTAGAAGAAGCTGGGAATCTAAGTATCCCTGGGGCCAGGGTTTCGCAACCTTGGCCATTTTAAGAGGTGTGGACTTCAACTCCCAGAATTCTTGCTGGCTGGGGAATTCTGGGA